CTGACATAAATACATTGAAACAAAAATAATCGTACAACAGAGGAGTTAATGAGATTTAATTTAGTATGTTTCTGTCAAGGTGTTGTGTCATGTGTCTGAGTTATGAATTCATTGTGATACAGTTTGAGCAGTGAAATGTGACACATTCCTTTCCTCATGGTCCCTACATAGCACAATACGTGTCATCATCTCTGTGTGAACTTAGCATGGATATATTTTAACTTATTTTAAAGCTTGTTCGGCCAGTTTTTAAGTTCAAGTAGATATCATGGAACATTGTTGACATAGAGTGGTCCCTGGGATTGAAATCTTCAAAGAGAATATTTTTTTTTTTGCACATTAGACGGCAACATTGATGCCAACATTTTCAAATTTATATTAACTTTGGTTATATTATATTATTATTATAATTGTTATTTATTTTTTTTCTTCTTAATTTTCCATTTAGAATTTAAGTAATTTAGGAAATTTTTATTAAGTTATTGTTAAGTAAACAATCATTATTATGAAGAAAAAATCCAGAAATATCAGACTGAAAATAAAAGCATGTTCTAATTGGAAAAAAAAATCCAAACAACTCACATAAGTATTATTGTTTTATTGGCTAGAATGAAATGTCTTATAAGGTGACTAATTATTAAACATCTGTAGTTATACTTTTATATTATGTCTCTTTACTAATGAAAGACTATGTATTGTTCATTCTAAAATCATGTTAATACATTTTTAGAATTTATTATTGCTTTTTCAATTAAAGTGAGCTTTTTTTGTATTGTTCAGAAGAATATAATCAGATGGAATAGAAAAATAAACTGCTGTGTCATAGAGAGATGGAGACCAACATAGTGAAATTAGCTACTGGTTAATTTCTAGTCTATTATTATTATTATTATTAAATTTTATATACAATAGTTCATTATATCAGATACTATATTTAAAGAATTTCTATGGAAATTTTATTATTTAAGCATACTATGACGAAAGACATTTTTATTTAAAAACAGAATCTGTGTGATTTTTTTGAGTTACTTTAAATCATTGACTAAAATTGATTTAAATTATTTAATTTCTAAGAACTAATGTAAATAATCTAATTGATTCTAAAAAAAAAAATGTTTTTTAATCACACTGCTTCTTTCATATTCAATGCCCTCATTTCTATTGAATGACCTTAGAGAAAGAGATGTTCTACTGAAGTACATTTGTTTGCTTTCTTCATGGCTTGTTATAAGTTACATTCAACTAAAACTGTAGACACAAAGTTATTCAGCTGTGTAATGTTTACTTGGAAAATCAAATTTTGAAGAGTTTATTTATTGAAGTACATATTTTTAAATGTTTGTCTGATAAATTTAGATTACAATTAAGTTACTCAGTTCCAATGTGGACATTTCATTAGTTGTTAACAGTGTATTTTTATTAGGGTTATTTTATTATATGATTTCTTATAAAACAGACATTAGTAATTATGCAAAGGTTTGTTCCTAAGTTGTGATCCATATAGAAAACATCTCAAATTTATCAATTTTAAAATATTTTTTGTTTACATTAACTAAACTTAATGACGCTAAACTGTCAAATATTTGGTTACCAACAATAGTTAACAAAGAATTTTTTGGTTACTACTTTCAGCTCTGCAAAACAAAACAACAAATTCTCTTCTTATATTAGATATGTGTGTGTTATTTTCTGGTTTCAACCACTTGGTGCCTTGTATTTTGTTTTTTTATTTTTTGCCTTCATATGTTTGTTTCACTTTTATATCTATTTTAAACCCAATTCACAGGCTCAACAAAAATAGAAAGAATAAGGAGTGTTAAATGAAAGTTTTTTTTTTCTTAATACGATGTATCTATATAGGTTGTAAAACCTACTTCTACACACCAAGTAATTAGACATCTGCTGTTTAATGTTACTGTTCTGGCCATTTGACTTTTGGTTTTGATTTGATTTTGATTCATATTCTGTCCAATGGTTTTTGACTGGTCTTTTTTTTTTTTAACACTGGTTAATATTTGGCAATAATCTGCTTACATCATGAGTTGCTTCTTTTGAAGTTTTTTTCCTATTTTCATTCTGAGTGGCATCACTCAGAAATAAATACTTTTTGTTCTTCTGGCAGAAAAGAACCTTTTAACAGTGCAATTCTTAAATCATAGCTTACATTGATTAATAGCAATCACTACCAGTTAACATGAATCCCAAAGTGCTGTTAGATCACACAGTCTTGTTCTAAACAACTCTGGGTAAAGAAATTATCCGCAACAGTTTTGATACAAATGAAATTATTTTATTTTTGATATTGAGATTCATTCTATATTGCAGTTAAACATTGCTATTCAAACTGTGCTATAGTAAAAGCTGAAATGGCAGACATCACAATCATGTTTAGTTTTATTTTGACCCAAATGTCATTGGAAACACTTTTTTTTTTCATTATAATTTTTAAGCACTAAACTTATAAGTTGTTAAGCTGACATTAGAGCTACGTGGTTATTTCAATTATCATCTATCAGAATTATTATTTCAAAGAACTTAGAATGTAATACTTGCAACTGTTCTTCAGTAGTTACATTTCAGTTCACAATCTTTAGCTCCTGGTTTTGGGAATGGTGGGGATTACTAGGATCTTACTCTGAGTTAAGACACTGATCTTAGTCTTCAAGGTCTTAAAGCTTAATGCCTTGATGGTAATCTTAACTTAAAAACCACAGTTGACATTCGATTTACTTCTCTAGGACTGCCAATGGGATGTTGTTAATATTTTCATTGACCTGTAAAAGTAGCATTTTGCACCTCTGAATGTGATGAAATCTTGAGTGCATCTTTCAGTTGTCAACAAATTGTCCCAGTGATTTTTGTTTTTGTATGTACAATATTGAAATACAATTTGGCAAACAGTAAAACTTGTTTTTTTTTTTTTTAATGTTTGTGTAAATGATTGTTGTTCTGAGTAATGAATGTTAGTTGTGGTTCTTCAGATGCCAAGATATGGGGTAGTAAAAACTAAAGTATGACTGGTTTTAGTATTTGACCCAATGAAATATAATCAATACTTGAGTTTGAAAGATAAAAAGCCTTGTGTTTAGCAGCTAAATTGATGTCAGAAACACACATCAAACATCCTTTAACTTTGTATTGATACAAACTATTGGTTTACACATCCCAAAGGTTATTTTACCCTAGAGACTTGGACCACACAATGATCTATCTCTTGCCGTCCTGCACACTTAGTTTTATAATCAACAAAACGTTCTACAATTTCTTTGACCTTGTTTTGATGAAGACAATCATTCCTTACTTTTGTGTGAATAGATTTGTTAATAATACTTTTATTTATAAAGAGCTGTTGAGAAACAAAATGTAGAATCAAGGCGCTAGTGATAACATTACAAACACAATCATAATCACGAGATTTGTCATGAAAAACTAATCTAAAAAAGTTTTGAACAGGTAGATCTAGTATTGATATGTGGCCTTAGTCGGAATTTTGAAGTAAGGCGTTTAGTACCCTGACCACTACTGTCTCTGTGCTACGGCACTTCCTATATGCACATTGAAATTCTTCCAAGAGACGATGATGTTCAAGATGAGAAAGAATTTGCGCTAACACGATGCGCTCCAGAACCTTTGACAGTGGAAGATTTGATACCGGGCGATAGTTTTTTAGACATTCTGGGTCAATACTGGATTTCTTTAATAAGGGCCTGACAAGTGCATGCTTAAATTGCTGTGGTACAATGCCTGAAGTCAGTGAAGAGTTCACAATGTTAGTAATTGTAGGTACAAGCTCATCTAAACATTCAAGGAGCAAGGAAGTTGGAATGGGATCAAGGTCACATGACTTATTTGGCATCTTTAGAATTGTACTTTTGACATAATCTTCAGATACACGTTGAAATTCGCAAAAAGGAGAAATTTGAAAGATTGGAGAGTGGTCAAGCTGTGATGAGAGCGATGGCATGTCATTTCTGATTTGCTCAATCTTGCCAATGAAGAATCTATTGAAGGAATCAGGGAGTTCAGATACTGGCATAGATGACCGCTAACGTTTGTTATTTGCTCCCCCTAAAATTTCAGCGGTGATTCTGAATAGCTCCTTTGAAGAATCAAGTTTCGATTTTTTTGTCGACTATGACTATTGTTATCAGCTGTCCTGAGCTTGATTAATTCACCATAAGCTTCAATGCAATTCTTCACTTTTCAGACGTGCATAGATGTAATTGTTTCTGGTTTCAATGTGTATAGAGGAAGTATTAGCTGCAATGGAGGAATTATTGGTGATCAAAGAAAAACTTTGTAATTCACTTCTATTTAGTTGACATCCAAGTCATTGAACTGAGCAAGGTTTATTCTTGTTTCAAGATGAACAATGAACATTTAGAATAACAATTTTTAACATCCCCTTTGATTCAAAAAAATATTTCTCAATTGGAAGCAGCCCTCAGGTTTTCACTTTTATATTTAAGTGTCTGCCCAGGCTTTCACCTCACTTCTGACATGAACCATAGTCGTTCCACGACTGAAGGAGGCCAATACATACATTTAAGTGTATTATTGAAAAGTGTGGAGATGGAACACATTCATGATGGAATTTTCTTTACCATCTCTCATATTAACTATCACATACTTGTGCTGGGTTCGAATTCTGCTGAAGAATGGGCTTTTTAATTTTGGGATTTTAAAGGCACCTCTGAGTCCACCCAGCTATATTGGATATCTGACATTAGCGGGGAAAAAAAAAAAGGCAGTTGGTCATTGTGCTGGCCACATGAAAACCTCATTAACCCTGGGTAACAGATGACCTTTACATCATCTGCCCTGTGGCTTGCAAGGTCTGAAAAAGGGAACTTTACTTACTTGTACTGTTATTGAATATTATGTTTTTTTTCCATAGTAAATACCATTTCGATTAAAAATCATGAACTACACTGCTAATGCTTCATTTAATATTAAAGTCTAAAGTAGCTCAAGAAATTTACATAAAACCAACACTGTGACACATTTGGGGAAATGTCTTTATTGATATAGTGGTATTATATTGACTATTGGTAGACAGTCAAACATTTTAGAATCTTCTGGAAAGTGCAACAAAACAAAAGTATCCACAGCAAACATCACTCCAAAGTTAATGGACGCACTCAGAGGGAATGGCTAAATTTGTGCAGAAAAATAAAATGTTACATTGTTTTATAGTTGGCATTAAGACAATACCAATGGAGAGTCTGCATTTATTATCATTCTCTTCTTTGACAGATCTGATCAAATAAAATAGGTGTGGCTTAAAGAATTTACTAAGAATGTACATTTGATAGAATAAAATATAATAAAATAAAACAATTAAGAAAATATCTAGTGGTGCAACTGAAAACAACATGAGTTTGTTGTTCCCCAGAATGTAATCTAAAAAAACCAACAAAATTGAATGTAGATAGACTAGATTTGACCAAATGAAATAACAAAAAAAAAGCATAAAAAAATAGATGTCTAAAAAAGGTTATCAATGAATTTCAACTAATGTATTTAATAATGTATATAATGTATAAGAATGTAGTTTTTGTTAAGAATGTCACAATGATTTTTGGTAAACATTTTTAATGGTAGATAACCAAACTTGTTCTTGAAAACTACAGTCAACCCTCCTAATCTCAAACTCTGATAGAAGTTAGCTTAAAGGTTTGGAAATTTTAACCACCCAAGAATGAATGCTACTAAACATGAATTGCATTATCTAGTACTAGGACATCATTTGAATGCATTCATAGTTAGCTGATGGATTTATAACTGAAATAAGTTTGATCTCATTAATGATCTTTTTTTTAAAACTTTGGATAAACTAAACAATTTAGTCTGTCCTATAAATTTGATACATTTAAAAAAAAAAATTCAAATGAAATTGATCAGAATTTTTTCAGAAAGTTCATTTAATTTTGAGAGTACTGGATTTCTTATCATCTACAGTTTGCTGAAAAATTTTTAACAAACAAACAAAAAAAAAAAAAAAAACAAAACTAAAAAGCATTATTCTCATTATCAATATGGAAAACATTTTTTATTTACATCAATCCAAACAGGCATGTTGAAGTGTTTGGAAAATTAAAAATGTAAACAAAAATCAGTTTGGAATGACAAGGTAAAAAAAAAAAAAAAAAGACTAACAGCACGTATCCCTCTGAGAAAATAAAACAAAACTTGGGTCCAAATAAAAATAAAACACTCGTAAAATAAATTTGTGCGTTCACCACAAATAAATAAAAAAATACTTTTTTTTCTTTCTCCCAATACTTGAGTTGTTTTTTTCTAATAGTCTATTTAAAAGGTTAGTCTAGGTGATGGAGATCACATGAAATTATGATTTTTGGACAGTTATCAAATGTGCTCTGACAGAACTAATAAGTAGACAAATCACTTCACAAGAAGGTTGAACTCAACCTTTGACATAAATAGGACGGATGACCTGGCAAGACAAATTACACAATTTTGACTAAGTAAGAATTACATCATGTGTCCCCACATGCATACTAGAAAAAAAAAACATAAAACAAAATAATTAAAACAGAAATTCCATTAGAAAGCTTATAGATACTGATACAAATTTAAACATTTTTTAGTTACACTCAAATATAATAAACTGAATCAGACAGAAATACAAAATGCAATATTTTTTTTACTATTAAAAAGACAAAAAAGGAAACAATCCAGTCTAAGTTTTTGAGCCTGATTCTATTTCAGATGTGGGTAATTACTTAACTATGCTAATATATAAATACGATGAGATTATATTATAGTTGTCTAAATATCAAACTAAAAGAGACTTCGTTTAAGATAAGTATAATTACATGACTATAAATGCATAAATAGGATTAGATGTCTTATTGTCTACATATTACACAAATACGATAATGTTGATTACATTAACAACTATTATTATTTCATTATAATAATAATTATTATGTAGTTTATTTATATCAATATATGAAAATTTAAGTTTTTTTTTACAACCTTGACCCCAGACAAAAAGTTTTGGATAATGCTGGCTCCAAATAAGATGTTTAATGCTTAACACATGATGTAACAAGTAATCATTTGATAAAAGTATTGGAGAAAATTGTAGCATGATGGAGCCACATTTAATATGACACAACTAGTTGGGCACCCAGACCACCATATGTAATTAACTATGTCACCTTAAGCCAACTCACATATTACAAGACCTTGACCAATTCACAAATCAACCCCCTACCCATCACCATTAAATTCATTGTATGTAGTCACTTATGTATAAAAATATATTTGAAGGCACTGAAAATTTGATAAAAGAAAAAAATGTTTAATTTGAAAAGAAAGTAACTGGTCTATTGCAAACACCCTTAAGATTAGGGGAAGAAAAATAGATTTCTTGTATGAAATTACACAAAATAAAAGTTTTTACACATTAAAAAGCAAAACAAAGCAACATGAAGACTTTAAACTAAAGAAGAAATTTGTCTGCCTTAAAAATCCAATAGAGACAAGATCTAAAATAAGTAATATTGGTAGTGACTGATAAAAAGAAACAACCCAACTTGCACTGACCTAGATGAACAATAAGAAGTCTATACAAAAGGGATGTCAAAAGAAAATGCAAAAACAACCCCACCCTCTTAAAGGGTCAAAGTAGTATGACATGTTTTTCTACATTATAAAAATATGAACACTAAATTGGAGGACAATTAGTTTTTGTTGCACTCTACTGCATTACTCTTTTTTCTTGTAAAACTCTATCTACTGAGATATACATTTATATTGTAGCTTCGGTAAATGAGATTCATTGAATGACAGCAGAATTTAACTTGGTTAATTATTTTACAAAAATTGCATCACTCACACATTGTGATGGGGTTGAGGCTAGTATCACACAAGTTATTGCACACTGCAGGGGAAACAAACAACATTACAAGGATCAACACTGCAAGAGAACAAGCGCAGGAGCTATCTCCCCTTGTAGGCTAACATCAATTCAAAACATTTCTGCTTTGCATCATTTTAAAACAAATCTGCACTTTTAGTGAGGTGAAACAAAAACGGAATACATTCAAACAAACTGGAAGTGTTGAAATACTGTCATGGCTTACCCAAAATAACAGAAACAACTTTTCTCATTAAGTAGAGATAATGTAAACTATAATATAATATAGACATTCTCCAGTACATTAAACAAGAAACCAATTTTTTTTTTAACATAAAATAGTAAAACTATAAGTTAAACTCCTTTAGATTTTTATATGAAGTTAAACTTAATTCTGTTTTGTCTTAACAAATTTCAAATACTTTTTGAAAGGGAGATAATAGTAGATAACAATGATACACATTTATACATATGAAACATTTGTTATGATTTAGAATTAATTTTTAACAATCGTTTCTTTTTTAACTAATAAGAATTAATTTATTGTTATGTTTCATAAGTAAATGGCACTTACATTTTGCTTTTTAATAGTTACAATGTTTTCTTTGGTGTAATGCACAAATTGTAAGACAAATTTCCTTATGGACAATAAAGATTATTATTATTATTATTAATGAGTTCATCCCATTGTACTGATGGATTATTATAATCACATTATTATATGGCACCTTTGTATCAATTATATAAATATAGAGGTCCATTTGTTTTATTCCTATTTTCATATATCCTGTTAGATTGAGAAAGCCAATAGACAAACTCTGTTTTTTTGTGCATAAAAAAATTTTAACTGTTTTTTTGGCAGCATAACAAGAGAAGACTAGAAGAAACTGTTGTAACATGTCAAGTGATTGTTGTTTAATTGGACTTCTTGCTGATGAGTTCCTCATAATCCCACAATGCCCTCCATTCATTGGCTCCAAGGAGTGCTATCTCAGTGATCCACCCTTTGTTGTGGAGATCTTTAGTCAAAGGAGAAATCCAGCTCTCCACAAAGTGTAGGGATGTGGCTAACACAGACTTCATCATCTCTGTTATCAGAAGTATAGAATAATACAAGTACAAAAACAAAGACTTTATCACTCTCTGTCATGGACATCAATTTTATAATCATATATAAGTATAATTAAGTATTTAAAAGAGCACATAATATATAACCACACACACACAATTTGATCATATACTTGTTCAAGCCATATTTTCTTTCTTGACCTTAACAAAGTCTTAATGTGGCACTGGCCCAAACCATGACAAACTCTCTTGGTATATGAGAATATTTTGATACCTGTGTCTTTAGCATTCAGGGCAAGACTGAATGCATTGTTCCTTTGTTGTTATTTGGGTATGAAAGAGTTAAATCTCTTTGTTTATATATTCCGAAGATATGAATGGGAACAGTTTGCACATGATGTGGACTGAATGTTTCGAGTTTGTTTTATGAGAAGAAGAGTTTTATGGCTGGCTAGAGTTAGTTGTTCTATGGTAGTCAAAGAAGACAAGGGTTTCTATGTTTATTCTATAGTTATAAAACTTTTTATTTCCTGGATAGTTGGAGTTTTTGTGGTTCAATAAGTTTATATTGATACATTAATTAGTATATATTATTGTAGTGTTTCTAAGTACATCTATTGAGCCTAGTAAAGGTTCTGACAATATCCATAAAGATAAAAAAAGGTGGAACATTTACAAATCTACAGTAGAATTAAGTCTTCAACAAGATTTTAACAGATCTTCAAGAAATCATATCCAATTAAGCATTAATAAACTAGTGAGTGCATCAGATAAAAAATAAAAAGTTTTCACAAGACAACTTAAAATCATAATAAAGAAACAAAAAATAATATAAAAAAAGGATAAAGAAAAGAAACTAACCTTCATCCACAACTTTTGTCTGTTGAGTTTCAGCAACCAACTTTCCCAAGTGTTTTAATTTTGGACTCAGTTCCTACAAAACACAGGTACGATTCCATTATTTCAAACAAAAACACAGCATGATGCAAGTGGAAATTAAAAAAACGACAACAAAGCATTAAGCTCAAACCTCATCAAATTAAGATCGATCAAGCTAAATTTTCATCCACTTTTAAGAAATTTGCAACAGAGGAAAATTTGTGTAAAAATATTTTGACAAACTTACAAATAAAAAACAAACAAACAACTAAAAAGCAACTCAACTGTTTTAAAACAAAATCATGTTTACCTGCCCCTTTTTGTTCTGCTCAATGATAAAATTCAACAATTCTGCATGGAAACAGGCCTGGATTTGATCAAGCATATCAGATGACTGGGATAGTACAATATTGATGTTCTCTACAAAGAAGAGTCAAATCTGACACATAATGCAAGTGACATTTAATTTAGTGTAAGCAAACTTTTTATTATAAAAATTATATTAGCTAAAGACTTTATGTAGTAAAATTAGTTATTGCCCAAACCTAAAATTTCTAACATTTGAAAATGTAAATTTCTAATAGTTAATTACTAAGTCTGACAATTTCAGAAATTTCTAAAAATAAAAAAAAATCCATGCATTGTATAAAATTGTTATTGTTGATGAATTTCTTTGCCATTAGACTTAATGTAAAAACATACTTCTTTTTTAAAAAATATGACTATTACTAAAAAAAAACAAACTTCAACATAATTATAAAAAGTGAAAATTGTTTTACTTCTGCTGAAGTCAAGGGCCAGAATGTAGCCAGTCATACTTCTTTCATAAACATCCATCAAAGAATTGAAAGAAATGCTGTTGGAATTACAAGGGGAAAAAAAATGAAATGATTAGTTCAAATATCATTATGTTTAGTTTTATTAAATCTCCACACAGTTCTCTTCAAACAATTCAATACATTTCCAAGGACATCTCTGTCTAAAGAAAACTAAAATAAGGACCAATAAAAATGCTTACCTCTTTGTCACTTCTGCTAAAGAAACTCCAAGTCTGAGGTTGAAAGGTCGTTTAACAGCTAAACAAACAAACGAAAACAACAACTAATTGAACTAACATATCAACACAATAGTCTTATTTTACATTTTAAACCAGTGAGGGCTATAATAGTCATTCTAT